TTATTTTTAATATCGTTGTTATTTTTTTCAGATTACATTTAAACACTCTTATAATTTTAAAATGGAAAAAGAAACAAAGAGGTGTACTTCAAATATAATTTTATTGGTGAAGCAGTAAAAATTATTAAAAATCAGTCGATGTGAGTATAATACATCAAATCGAACTATGCACAAAGGTTAGTTTTCTTTAATTTTAGAAATTCATAAACAAGTATCTAATTTAAGTATTATTAATATTATTTAAATTAAACTGACAATCATATTAAATATTTGAATTTGAATTTAATTATAGTAAATATTCGTTTTATATCTGGTTTGTTAAATTAAAATTGAATAATTTTATATTAATGAATTTAAATTAGTTCTAATATAATATTGACTAATAGAAGTTAAACTTATTTTAAATTGTTGAATTAATATTGGTTTCAATTTCGTATTTTATATAAATTATTTTTCTATTTATAAATTGTTAAACCATAATTAATTTTGATTTTAATTTAAGTAGTTTCTTATTTAAATTGAAATTTGTTTTTATTGGAATTGAAATTGATTCTCACTTGAATTAGAATTAATTTGGATTTAAATCGAAATTGGTTATTTTAATTGGACTTAATTTTTATTTTAATTGGAATTTATTTCGAGTTGAATTGAAATTAGTTTTTACTTGGATTGAAATTAGTATTGAATTCTAAATTGAAATTTATTATAACTTGAATTGAATATACAAATAATGTAAATTGACATTAACTTTGATATGAATGAAAATTGTTTGAATGAAAATTGCTGTTGAATGAAAATTTCGACTGAATTTGAAATTAGCTTTGACTTGAATTATAATTGGTTTTGATTTCAATTGAAATTGATACTTGTTTGGATTGAAATCATGCCTCGAAGAAAAATAGTTCGAACAGTCGAGGAAGAGGAAAAATTTCAGTGTTTAAAACGAGAAAGAAAGGCAAAATGGCAGGCTGAAAAACGGGAAAAAGAACGATTGATGATAAATACAGATTGTCAATTTTCGTCAAATATTAATGAGATTTCTTTAAATTTACGACAAACTTCATCAAATTTTGCAGGAATGATAATAATAGATTTTCAGGCCTCTTCATCATCTATGAAAATGGTATATCCAATAAGCGAAACAATTACTACTGCATCACAAGTAATTGATACAACAACTATTACAAATGCTTCTATAATAAAAGATAATAATGGGGTTACTGCTGTAAATGATAGCATAAAATTACTTAATGTTAATAATGAAATAACTGAAAATGTTAATAAGTCTAATGTGGAAGTTATATTAAATAATAACATTCCTACTCCTATACCTAGCACATCGAATAGATTAACAAGTTTAGATAATAAATTTGGAAAATCAATCATTTTACATAAAGAACCATCTCCAGATATTATTTTAACAAATAACAAAATACTAAAATCAAAATCAATGTCTTCTAATATAATTGATAAAAATAAAAAAGTAAAGCGGCAGGAAAACTATCGAGCTTTAGAAAAGGTTTATATGAGTTTTAACGTATCTAATGTTGTTCAATTACAAAACGTTGAAGAACATTATATAGGAGAAATGAATGTATATTGCGAACATTGCGGTGCAAAACATTTTAAATCTGAAAAAGTAGCTAATAAAGGAAATTCATTTTATGATTGCTGCAGTCATGGGTCTGTTGAATTAGATCCTTTACCACAACCTCCGCATGAATTGTATGAGTTATTTATGGGAAATCATTCAAAACCAAATCATTTTTATAATCGTATTCGTGGTTACAACAATACATTTTCTTCCGCGTCCTTTAATGCAAAAATATCAGATTTCAGTGCGCAAAGACGTGGATCTTATTGTTTCAAAATTCAAGGACAGATTTATTATCAAATTAATACCGCTTTATATCCTACACCTAACGAAATGCCAAGTTATGGTCAACTTTTCATTGTAGATAATAATGAAGCAATAGAATGTCGATTACATCAAAATTCGAATATTGATGAAGAAATTTTACGTTTAATAGATAATACGTACAAATAATATTTTCGCTCAACCATATCGAATGATACATGAAGAAATTCAAGCACAGCAAACAGAAAATCATAATATACGTGAATTACAATTAGGATTTTTAACAAAAAAAGGTATTTTTTGATCGTGGTCGATATAACATACAAAGAGTAAATGAAGTAGCAGCTGTTTTTTCTACTACTGCAGATGGAGAAATTCCAGAAACATATGTTACAATTTATAATAAAAATAACAAGACGTTACAACAAATCAGTACGATGAATCCAAATGTAGAACCACGGATTTATCCATCGTATTATCCATACGATAATCAAGGTTGGCATGGTAATTTACGATGTAATAATAGTAATAAATGAGTTAGTAGAGCTGCTTACGTGAAACATCGAATAGCTATACGTGATAATTTTAATATTTTTATTTTGGGAAGACGATTATTTCAACAATGGCTTGTAGATAATTATGTTAAAATTGAAAAAGATAGAGTTAATTATTGCAAACAGAATCAAAAACAATTGCGAGCTGAAAGTTATCAAGGATTAATTGACTATTTGGCAAATGTTGCTAATAATAACGATGCTCATATAGGAAAAATGATTATACTTCCATCGACATTTGTAGGTTCACCGCGTAATATGTTACAGCATTATCAAGATGCGATGGCTATTGTTAGAAAATATGGAAAACCAGATCTTTTTATTACTATGACTTGCAATCCAAATTAGCGCGAAATTAAAGAAAATTTACTTCCAAATCAACAACCTGTAGATAGACCAGATATCTGTGCTCGTGTATTCAATATAAAAAAAGATTAGATAAATATCAAGAAAAGGGGAGCCACCTCCGATGATCTTGACCTTAACATATGTTGTCAAGATCGTGACCCTGAATGACCTCCACCAGATTTTAGGTGGTGGTCGCTGTCCGTTAAAAAGTTATGAACAAAAAAATTCGAAAAATAACGTATTATTTTTGCTATATATGCAGTATTAAATACTATTCTATATAGGTTTTGACTTTCGGGGGCGCACGACTCTTGCCTCCGACTTTCATCCCCTCCCCCCTGCTTCAGAGGCGCACGACTCTCACCTCCAACTCTCATCCCCCTCCCCCCTGCTTCAGGGGCGCACGACTCTCACCTTCGACTCAATGAATAATTTATTCACCATATTGCGATCAATGAATATTCATGGATACAGTGGGTTCCGCCCCCCCCCCTGCGGGGGGGCTCCACTACGGTAAAAACTAACCTGAACCAACCCATTTGTTGGTGTAGAATAACCTTTACTTCGGGTGGAAAGTCGAAACCCACATGCGACAGTACAATCATAGATTCTACGTGTAGAAATTGTACGCGTGAAGGCAGTGGGTTCCGCCCCCCTTCGGGGGGCTCCACTACGGTTTTTTTCTAACCTAAACCGTCCCATTTGTTGGTGTGGAATAACCTTTGCTTCGGGTGGAAACTGTCGCACGTGGGTTTCGACTTTCCACCCGAAGCAAAGGTACACCAACAAATAGGATGGTTTAGGTTAGAAAAAAACCGTAGTGGAGCCCCCCCGCAGGAGGGGCGGAACCCACTGTATCCATGCATATTCATTGATCGCGATATGGTGAATAAATTATTCATTGATCGCGATATGGTGAATAGAAACGAGCCATAATATCAAAAAATACATCAATACGTTCTTGTAAAGGATAATTTCGTTTAAACATTAATTCGGCCAAGTAATGTTCATAATGTACTTTTGAAGTCTCATATCGAGGTAATACGCCTTTCATATCTCTCCAAAGTTTCTCAATATTTTGAGTGTGAACACCTGTACGTGGACAGTCGAACGTGAGAGTCGCTTCGCGTGGATAGCACGTGGTATAGCAGAAACAAAACGTAATTTTTCAAACTTTTTTTGTTTATAACTTTTTAACGGACAGCGATCGCCACCTAAAATCTGGTGGAGGTCACTCAGGGTCACGACCTTGACAACATATGTCAAGGTCAAGGTCATCGGAGGTGGCTCCCCTTTTCTTGATATTTACCAAAGATTATTTGATTGATATCATCGTTAGACAAAAATTTTTTGGAGAAGTTCTTACATATGTTTATGTGATAGAATTTCAAAAACAAGGATTACCACACATACATTTGTTGGTTACTTTGAAACAAAATTATAAGATATTAAATCCTGAAGCAGTGGATAGATTTATTTCAGCAGAAATTCCCAATCGTGATGAAAATGGAAATTTACATAATGTAATAATAAAACATATGATTCATGGGCCATGTGGAGATTGGTGTTTAATAAACAACAAATGTTCGAAACATTTCCGTTTCAGATTGAAAACAGTTTCAATCTGAAACGATCATGGATGAAGATGGTTATCCACAATATCGTCGACGAAATGATGAATTGTCTTACGAAAGACCTTTTGCCAATAATCGATATGTCATTCCGTATAATCCAACGCTTTTACTTTTATTTAATAGTCATATTAATGTGGAAATAGTTTCGAGTATACGATCTGTGAAATATTTGTATAAATATATTTATAAAGGTCACGATGCTGCATCTATAATTATTGGAGAAAATGTGGATAAAACGATAATTCATAATGAAATTCGAGATTTTATCGAAGCTCGATATGTTAGTCCTGTGGAAGTATGTTGGCGTATTTTGAGCAAACCTTTACAAGAAAAGAGTCACACTATTTTTCGTTTACAGGTACATTTGCCAAATGAACATAGTGTAATTATAGATGAGAATGTTAATATAATGATGCAATAAGATCGGCTGTAGAACGAGTAACGATGTTATTGGATTATTTTCAATTAAATGCTCGAGATAACGAAGCAAAACAATATTTTTATAGTGATATTCCATCTCACTATGTATTCAAAAAAGTAACAATTAATGGTAAAACCATTAATCGTTGGGAAAAACGTCAGAGATATTTTAATTGTATTGGTCGAATGTATTCCGTTAGTCCATCTCAGATAGAATTGTTTCATCTACGTATACTTTTACTACATGTTAAAGGAGCGAAGAATTTTGAAGAACTAAGGACAGTTAATAATGAAATACATCAAATCTTTACCGCTGCGTGTTTAGCATTAAGACTCATAGAAGATGATAACGAATGGTATCGCGCAATGAATGAAGCTAAAGTTTGGATGATGCCAAGGCGACTTCGTAATTTATTCGTTCGAATTTTAATTCATTGTCAACCAGTTTATCAGAAAAAATTATGGGATGAGTTTAAAAAAGATATGTCGGAAGATTATATAAGACGATATGGACTTACAATAGGAATAAAGAAAGCTTATCACTATATTACTAATTTACTAGAAAAGGAAGGATCTAATATAACTAATTTTTTTGAAATAGAACAAGTTACAGAGGAACAAGAGATAGAAAATACCGAAGAAGGTCAAGAAGATACATTGATAGGTATGCGACAATATAAACAGCTAAATGTAAAACAAAAGGAAATTGTTGACACAATTTTAGCAGCAGTAGCTACTAACAATAATAGTGACACTTGTTTTTATATTGATGGTCCAGGTGGATCTGGTAAAACTTTCATTTATACGACCTTGTATTATTTACTCAAAAGTAGAGAAAAAATAATCAATACGATGGCATTTACTGGTATTGCTGCGACATTACTTCCAAATGGAAGAACGATTCTTAAAGTTTTTGGATTACCGGTACCTCATTTTGCTGATTCTTCATCAAACATTAAAGTTCAGTCTAAAGAAGCTGATAATTTAAAACTTGTGGATATTTTCATTTTAGACGAAACTCCTATGGCTCCACGTTATGTATTGGAAATAATGGATCGAACATTACGTGATATAATGCAAAATAATTTATATTTTGGTGGGAAAATAGTGCTTCTCGGTGGAGATTTTAGACAATTATTACCTATAAAAGAAAGAGCTACGCGTAGTGAAGTTATAAATTTATCCATAAAATTTAGTACCTTATGGCCACAATTTAAAATATTTTCATTGACAGAAAATGTACGAACTTTACCAGAAGAAAGAGAATTTGCACAATTTTTACTAGATTTAGGAAATGGTACTTTAAATGATTACTCGGATAATGTTCAAATTCCTGAAAGATGTATAGCGAAAATTGATTCGGATATGATAAAAGATACATATGGAGATATTATAACACACAAGAGATATAACATTATAGCTAATCACGTTATATTATCTGCAAGAAATGCTGATGTTGATGAAATAAACGGGAAAGTAGTTAAATTATTGGATGAAATAAGAGAAAGAATTTATACAAGTGTGGATACTCTTGAAATTAACGATAACGAAGATATATGTGAAGCAATTACAACAGAATATCCTAATTCTTTAAATCCAACGAGTCTTCCACTACATGAGTTACGTTCAAGAAAATACACTGTTATTATGCTTATTCTTAATATTAGTGAAGGATTATGTAATGGTACTAGACTATTAATTTTAGATTTAGAAAGTAACTTATTACGATGTGAAATTTTGTCAGGTAATGAGATTGGAGAAATTATTTTTCTTAATCGTATTACATTATATTGTGAAAATACATATCCATTCCCTTTCAAAAGGAGACGATTTCCAGTGAAATTAGCATTTGCTATGACTATAAATAAATCACAAGAATAAACTTTTGAAAAAGTTGTAGTAGATCTGCGAAAAAATATTTTTAATCATGGACAATTGTGTGTTGCATTATCAAGAGTACGTTCTTGGGATTCATTAAAAGTATATTTAGAAGATAGTAATCTTAATCAAGTGAAAAATTATGTTTATAAAGAAGTACTCGAATAATAATGTATGAATTAAATAATGAAATTGACTGAATAATGAAATAATGAAATTGACTCAATAATGAAATTGAATGAATGAAATAATGAATTAAATAATGAAATGAACACCGGGGGCAAGGTGGGTGATACTCCCACCCCCCTCGGAGGTGTAGAACACTCCGGGTCTAACATCGACCCGGAGTTCGAGGAGTGCCAGGAGTTTTACGACTCCTGCCTCCTCGACTGCGCTGGAGAGCCCGGTTTAACGCTCACGTCAGCACCGGGTCTCTACCGGCTCAGCTTTGCTGGTGGGGAGGAGGGAATCCCTCCCGAACCCGACCCGGGGGCCCTGCGTCTCCGGGGAGGGATGAAGGAGGATTCCCCGCCTCCTAGCCCGACGCTGGCATCGCCAGCGAGGGCGGGCGTCAAGGGACGAGAGGAGATGGCTCCTCCTCGCTCGGCAGGGCCCGGCCCTGCCGGCAGCAAGGCCAAACACCGCGGGGGGTCGTCTGCCTCCGAGGGAGGCCTATCGAGGTCCGGATCAACGGTATCGATGGCTTCCCAAGGGGGCGACACCCGGAAAAGATCCGCGGCGGTTGAGCTGAGCTCAGACGAGGAGGAGCCCAAGCGACAGCGGGGCAGACCGGCCGCGGGCCCAGCGAACGCTGGAACGTCCGCGGCGGCCGCCTGGGCCGCGAAGGCCAACCGCGAGAGGGCCTGCCAGCTGGGGAGGGATTACCGAATCACTTCCGATCCGGAGTTTGACCCCCCTCCTCAGCGTCGTCTAAAAGGGCCAGCGCGAGGGCTGAGGGACTCATATAAGACTATGAGCTCCAGCCTTTGGCGGCGATCGCGGCCGTCGCGACCCGGGAGCTCTCCACACTCGCGAAAGCGGTGGAGCGCTCCCGGAACATTAAGGGGGACGTCGTGAGGGACCTGTGGGGAGTTTTTTCGAGGCTCTCCGCAGCCTTCGCGACGACCCTGAACAGGGCGAGTAAGGCCGTCGCCGCCGACGATGAGGACGGCCGCCTCGGCGAGGGGGCATGGGCGAAGGAGAGGCGGAAGCTAGAAAACGAAATTGCTTCTCTCCGTTCGAAAAACGCGCGGCTCACCGGGGTGGCGGGGCGGGGCACAAGATCCTCCCCCCCTCCGCCCCAAACTGGCGTTGTCGAAATTGACGCGACCAAGGAGGCCCCCCGCCGGCACGCTGAGTCCGGGCGGTGACGATGACGGCCCCTCTAAGGAGGGAGCCACCCCTGGGAGGAGGGGACGACGCCTCCGGTCGTGATCACGGAGGAGGACCAGAGGTCTCCGATTTTCAGGCCTCCTCTGCAGGAGGTTCAGAGACAGCTGAACCCCCTGGCGGTCGCAAACGACCGGGGCGCGGCCGTCTCCC